TTGATAAGCCTCTACCTGATGACATCATGTACTAGAAGCTGGATAACAGTTTCCCACTAAACCCTGGACATGAAAAAATGTAAGTGGGCATCATTTGACCCACCAGTAATGAAAGGATTAAATCAGATGTTCTTATACAGATTTTTTGGGAGAAAGATAAGGCTTTCTACTCATTAAGATTTACTGCCTAGAAAACTACATAGGGTTGCTATGAGTCGAAACTGACTTGACAGCACTTAACAACAACATATAGACTTTTTAAGCATCGTCCTCTGTGCATATTCAGTACCCAGTAAATGGAATTATAATCTTTGAGTTACCTTTTTGGCTTTCTTTTTTTTGGGTGGGGTGGGGTGGAGAAAGCTGTAGGATGCATATAACAAAAGATTTGTTATTTTAAAAATTGTAAGTCTACAGTTCAGTTTATTAGTTACAATCTCCATTATCACTATCCAATAAAAATATTTTCCATCTCCCTAAACAGAAACTTAATACTCTTTAAGTAATATGAAGGTGAGTCAAAAATTACTGTTACAAATTCACAGTAACTTTAATTTAAAACCTCACAATGTGATGCTACTGTTTCTTTTTTTAATGTTTTATTGTGAATTATCTGATAGTTTACATGGGAGAACAGTAGTTTTACATTCATCCTATTGTATATCGTTTCATTGCCATGGTTATAATCCCCTCCATGCATCATCAGCCAACCAAAGGGTATACACTACAAGCCTGCTCCCCAGTCATCAGCACACAGCCCCTTTCCCTCTCTGTCTAAAGTCCCCAACTGCTCCATCTCTCCACGTCATCATCTCTGCCTCCATCTCTGGTCGTGCATCACTGTTCCTCTGGGTAGGGTCCCGCTCTTCGCTCTTCGCCCTTGATGGTCCCAGACTGAAAAGTTAATCCCAGTGAAGGAGGCTTCTTGCGGAGCCTCTGCATTACATAAGACTATAGGTGGAAGCCTGAACCACATCCAGATCTTCAGAGATAGGAAATTTCCACTTGAAAGGACAAGCAGACCAGCCTGGAGAGGGCTAGAAGAACAGAAGATACTTCTTGAAAGCAAGACCAACAGGAAAAATACAAAACAATATAGGCAGACCGTTACTACAAGAACAAGCAAATTGCTTGCCCAGGAGACATAAAGGCAAGTGGTCAGGCCCCTCAGTATAAACCCCCTTCCAAGACTTAAGAATCAATGGGAATACACACTCTGATTGGTGACCACGCTCGTCACCGATAAGGGGAAGTGAAGGAAAAACAGCAATGGTGTTGCAAGCTAAGCCCTATAATGTTCAGTAGACTCCTATGAACCCGGGTAGAGACCTGGTTGGCCAGCAGTGTGGCAAGACCTGGGGACTCTTGGGCCCAGAGTCAGTGACATAGTCACAGAGGACTAGAGTGGAGAGTGAAGCG